CTGTCTTTCCCATTGTGAAGTGCATGAGTGAAAAAGTTCACTCAATCAATTGCCCCCCCCCCCAAAAAAGATCTCGTGAAGTTGCAATTGATTGAGTGAACTTTTTCACTCATGCACTTCACAATGGGAAAGACAGGGTCCTGTCCTCCTCCTGAAGCTCATTACAATGCAGAGCCACAATGCAACCCATGTGGCTCTTTCACCCCTCTGCTGTGGCTCCCTGTCATCCTGTTGTGGCAGAGGGATGAAAGAGCTGTCGCCATGTTATGGCAGTAGCGATGGGCAGAACCTTAATGCAGGAGCAAAGTGCCCCTGTACTTACCTTTGTGCAGCAACAGCATTCCGCCTTTGTTGCAGTATATTTGCTGTTGCTATCAGCAAAGAGGCCTAGGAGAGAATGGCAGGGTGGCTCTTGTGGGGTGGGGCCATCCCCCAAGCCTGGTCTTCCTCCTCCCTCTTCAGCAGGTCCAAGAGAAAGAAAGGGGTGGCCTGGGGAAGCACTCCCCTATCCCGGCCAAGTGCTGAACACAAATGGGTGGGTGGGTGGGATGGCTGGCCCAACAGAAGCGCCCCCATTGGTGAGTTGGATGGTGGAGAGGCCTGGCCTGGCTCTTGCAGCGAGAGACTGTTCGGCACCTCCAAATATAAAAAATGGTGCACCATGAGGAAGCTGGGCAGTGATGGCTCGGGAGCTGGGGGGTAGTGGATGCATCAGGACTGCATCCTGAGCAAGGCTCAGCCTCAGCAAGCCAGGCCTGGAAGAGCATGGAAAGTTGTGGCCCAAGCTCTGAGAGGTCAGAAGACGTGCTCCCATATTGCCCCAACATGTGTTTCCAGTGCGTGCTCCTTTGTCCTAAAGTGGGACTGAGTGAGGGGTAGGGGGAAGGGTGGGGGGTTTCTAGGAGGAGAAGCCAGGCTGGCTGTCAGGCATTCCTCCTTCAATAACCAAGAAAGAAAACTCCCAACTCCATTTTTGTAGAGATAAAGATACTTTTACTGGTTATGAAAAGAAGGCAGCGAAAAGGAAAGCAAGATCTGAGCCAAAAAGATGTGAACATGTACATAGCAAAGGTTTTGCCAAACGGATGCGCAACCACCCTTTCCTCCAGTTCATGTGCGGGTTCCATTTCCACAGCCAAGATATTCCCAATATGAGGGGCCGATCCATCTCTGGGGCAACAACAAAACATAAGGTTTCTTGGTGATCTCCCATCCACATCTCTACTGGTTTGGTTATAAAATGGACAGCCCCCCAACCACTGACCCATCCAACTGGCAAAAGGCAATGGGTAGTTTTATAGTTCTCAGTCTTAAACCCAGTTTTTCCACCACTTCTGGGATAATTACACACCAGGTACAGCCAAAATGTTCCCACAATCCTGATATACATCATCATTCAGGCCATCCATGTAGCTTTCCATCAAAGCCTCCTTGGACCACCCCCGCATATGCACAGACAGCTCGCGAAACTCCTGAGTGTACTCAGCCACAGACCTCCTCCCCTGGATTAAAGTTTTCATCCTGGTTCTTGCCTTCTGATTTGCGAGTGGGTCATCAAAGCACTTCCTTGGGGCTGTCATAAACACATTGTAATCTCTCAGCAGAGGGGAATCATCATTATGCAAAGCAACCATACAGGCAGCCGCTTTATTCTCCAATGCCATAGTAACAGCTCTCACTTTGGCATCCTCCGATGGGAAATCCTCCCCATATTCCTGCATGTAATTCCAAACCAGAACTAAAAAAAAACCAGTTCTTTGGAATCTCCTCTGTATTTCACTCCAAGAGGAAGAATCTTTGGAGTTTGATGCCGTTGCTGCCCCCCCCCCCCCCGGAGCAGCTCAAATGGCTGCTGTTGCAGCTGGGGCACCTCCATCTTGACCAGCTCTGATGGCTGCCCCCCAGGGCTGTCTCAGGGTTAGACAGGTCATCTCCTTGCCCCTCCGCCTGCTCGGCTAATCCAATCTCCCTTTCAGTGAGGCTTTCGCAGGAATGGCGTTTTTCACAAGCTTCCTGAAGAAGGTGTAGAGCATGGGTCATCATGAGATCCTCTTTTTAGGCTTCCTGCCAGGTAGCCTCAGGATATCGATGTCAGCTAGTGGTAACTCCTGCTAGAGTCTCCTCACAATCACACTTCTGTCCCACTCCCAGCGATCATCTGGGCCAGAAAGATCTTTCCTCCAAATTCAGTTCATCCATCCATTCCATCTCCAAAGGAAAGGAGGATCCAGTCGCTCCCATATCCTCCTGGTCACTGCAGGAGTTAGGCATTTTTATATGCACCCCGCACGGACGTTTTGAGCTCCAGGATGGGTATGAAGGAGAGATCTTGCTTAATTTCAGGCGTGCCACCTTCAATAACCAATAAAGAAAACTCCCAACTCCATTTTTGTAGCGATAAAGATACTTTTACTGGTTATAAAAAGAAAGCAGTGGAAAGGAAAGCAAGATCTGAGCCAAAAAGGTCTGAACATGTACATATCAAACGTTTGCCCAGCACCCACCCTCCAATTACCCCAACACAATGACCAATCTGCAACTCCCTAAGGTGTCATGTGGGGTGCATCTTCAAAAAGCCTCATCCAGTTGGTATGCAGAGATGGTTGACCTTGACCAAATCCAAACACCAGCCATCAGCATGCACAGAAGATGGTGAAACTAAACTCCCTCTTGATAATTCCTCCAGCACCAGAAATTCCCCAACCCAAATACCTCAAGCCCCCTCCCTCCATATTTTTATGGCAGCCGATAGCAAGCAAGCAAAGTAGAGGCTGATATTGGCTGTCCTTTTGGCATGGGGTGGGGGAAAGACCCAATAAAAATCCAATTTTCCCGGGGACTTTCAGTTAGCGCTGCAACGAGACAGATTGGAAAAGCAGGCTCCCGAGGGGCCTGTGAAATCCAGGCCTGACAAACCATTGCTGGGGGGTCTTTTAGACCAGAGCCTTCTTGAAGAGAAGGTGAAAAAAGAGTGGTATCTTGAACGGCCAAGAGGAAAGAAACTGGTTCCTTGAAAGCCAGAAATTAGCTTTCCCACCTGGCGATGGGGGAGACAGGCATTGCAAAATGTCTGCCAACTGGGCTAAGCACAAGTGCAGGAGCAATGGCTGGATGAAGTGACAAGACCGGGTGAGAAGATTTAAAACCCACTGATAGAATAAGAGTGGAGTTGTTATTGGGAGAGAATTGAAACGTAAAATAGCATAAATGGAGAAATTGGAACTGCGTGGTAAAACAAAGAGAAAAGGAAAAAAGATGGTAGTTTAAAAACATTAAAGCCCAAAGAAAATGAACTGCTTATCTAGCTTAGGAGGAGAAATTAAAAGAAGGACTGGATATTTCAGTAATATAGGGGGGAAATCTTTTCTCTAGTTGAATTTAAAACCTGGACTTTGCTTTAATAGCGGGTAATTGATAAACTCCAAACTCCACGGAAACCTTACAAAGGAGCTAAAGGGTGGGGGGAGGAAAAAACAACAACTTAAAATTAAAGAAGAATACCTGGTGGTCCAGAATCCAAAAAGTGGGGTGGGGTCTGTTCATCGGAGAATTGAAGAGGAAATCAATTGAAATCAGGGCAGGAGGCTATTCAGAGTGGGATCTGCCTGGGTCTCTTCTTCCCTTCCCCTTAGATTCCCCCATCCTGGATTTCTTCCCTAGCCTCCATTTAAGGGGAGGGAGAAGCAAGGTAGGAAAATAGTAGCTATTGGCTGCAAGGTGGGGGTTAGGGTTTATTAAAGATGGAGATGGGAAAAAATGTCATTCCTTTCCCTCTTCAATCTTATTGTTGTTGTTAGAACTTGTTCTCCCTCCAGAATGAATGGGGCCAAAGATGTTGGGTTTTTTATTTTGGTAGGTTGGGGAAGTTGGGAAGCAAAATGAATGAGTTAAGCATCACAAATATTTACAACATATATTTCCTCCCTTAAATTTTATGAATCCTCCCTGTCAGAAGTTTTTTTTTTAAAAAATAAACTCATATGCTATAGCTTCCTATTAATGCCCCATTTTGTCCATACTTCTGCAAGTTATGCTCCTAAACTACAACATAGGTTATAACATTGACAGGAAAAGGTAAACATTTCAAGTGTAAAAGAGTGCTTCTGCAGTTGCCTTCAGAATAAAGAGTGATAAGGCACGTTTCGGGATCTACCCAAACCCTCAGGGGCTAGATAAGATCTTGTTTGGTGGAGACAAGAAAATGTTATCGAAGATCTACCAATTTTTGACCTGCCAAGATACCAACGAAGAGATGGACAAAAGCCTTCTAATAGTATGGGAGAGAAACCTAGGTTACGAAATTGAAATGGGCAA